TATTGCCACTTAGATACAGAATCACACAGGGACCTGGGCTCATTTACTCCACTAGGGAGCAGCAGGGATACACACACACAGCCCCGAATCCCTCCAGCAGGGGGCAGTGCTGTGCACGTGTGCACACATGACTGATTCCCTCTAGCAGGGGGCAGTGTTATGCACATGCACGCACACACACACAGCCCCGCATCCCTCCAGCAAGGAGCAGTGCTGCACACACACGACTGATTCCCTCCAGTAGACGGCAGTGCTGCACACAGATGAACGATTCCCTCCAGCAGGGGGCAGTGCTGCACACAGACGACCGATTCCCTCCAGCAGGGGGCAGTGCTGCACACACACGACGGATTCCCTCCAGTAGAGGGCAGTGCTGCACACCCACACACTCTTACTTTACACCCTTTATTAATAAAATCCCCAGCTCTCCTCTCCAGCAAATGACTCCCCTCTGGGAGCCTGTTTAATTCACCCCCCATTCCCTAGCAGCACGTCCGAGTGGGGTCTAGTTGGCGTGTCCATGCTGTGGGGGAGTCCTGGGTGTTGGACACTGTCAGACCTTTAATCCCAGGCAACCCATGCTGAGAGGCGGGTCTCCCTCCTCTCTGGCATGACCTCTGACCCCAGCCCCCTAAGCCACATGGCTCATCTGCAGCTGCTCAGCCAGGTCCTGGGCAGGGCGATGGAGGGCCTGGTGCTGCAGCAGGTTGGATCTCTGGGTGAACGCCTTCCCGCACTGGGGGCACTGGTAGGGCCGCTCCCCGGTGTGGATGCGCCGGTGCTGGGCGAGGTGGGAGCTCCAGTTGAAGCCCTTCCCGCAGTCCGGGCAGCAGTGGGATTTCTGGCCCGTGTGCAGGGAGCGGTGCTGGGTCAGGTGCTTGCCGTGGCGGAAGCTGCGCCCGCACTCGGGGCATTGATAGGGTCTCTCCGACGTGTGGGTGCGCAGGTGCTGCAGCAGGTTGGAGCTGTCGCCGAAGCCCTTCCCGCAGTGGGTGCAGACAAAGGGGCGCTCGCCGGTGTGGGTGCGCCGGTGCTGCAGCAGGTTGGAGCGCTGGCTGAAGGCCTTGCCGCACTGGGCGCAGGGGAAGGGGCGCTCGCCGGTGTGGGTGCGCCGGTGCTGCGCCAGGTGGGCGTTGTGGCGGAAACCGCGCCCGCAGTCAGGGCAGCTGTAGGGTTTCTCCTCGGTGTGGGTGCGCCAGTGCTGCGCCAGGTTGGAGCTCTGGTAGAAGCTCTTCCCGCACTCCCCGCACTTGTAGGGCTTTTCGCCCGTGTGGATCCGCTGGTGCCGGATCAGGAGGGTGCTGCGGGCAAAACTCTTCCCGCACTCGGGGCACTGATAGGGCCGGCCTGTCCCAACCTGACTCTGCCCCTGCTCAGGGGTCCCGTGCAGCTCCGCTCCCACAGGCCCTGTCTGCTGAGGATTCTCCTCCTCCGTCCCGGCACCTGCTGGGAGAGAGAGAGAATCCAGCCAGGGCTCATTCCCAGCGCTGGGGAGAAAGGGGGGGTTTATCGCTGAGCAGAAAACCTGATGGGCAGGAAGCGAATCCCCCAAACCCTTCCCAGAGGGGAGAGGAGGGGCCGGGGCTGTCCGAACGGCCCAGCTGACCCCTCAGAGAAAGGCTGGGGGAGGGGAGGGTTCCTGCCAGGGGTGGGATCCAGGAGTGACACCTGCTGGGGATGACACTGAGCGAGTGGAGACAGACCTGGGGGGCTCCCAGAGGCTTTGCTGGGATCCCAGCTTTTGCCTTCACTCCCGGACGGTCTCCGAGCCGGTGTCGCTCATTCCTCACCTGCGTGGGTGCCTCTCGGGGTCTCCCTTTCCTCGGAGCCCTGGAGATCCGGGACCCTCGGCTCTTCCCCTCGCTCCATCCGGGAGGTCACGGTCGGGTCAGGGACAGGGAATTCTGCTGGAGGGAAGGCGAGACCAGCTTGGTGAAATTTCCCCCGAGGTCTCGGTACGGAGAACACGCCCTGGCTTTAACCCGGGCCCCGCTCTCTGCTGGGGGCACACGGGATCCGCACTGTGGGGTGACGGACCCTGTGCTGCTGGGCCTGGGGGCAGCAGGGCTGATCCCCCAGAAATCTAAGCGGGGAAGAGCCCTGAGCCGTAGCTGCCCCGGGTCCATCAAAGCCCGTCGAGCTCCTGATCCCCGAGGGGCAGCGGCGCCTCACCCAGCGAGATCAGAGTCTGGTAATTCTCCTGCATGACGTCCCTGTAGAGCTGCCTCTGCCCTTCGTCCAGGAGCCCCCACTCCTCCCGGGAGAAATACACGGCCACCTCCTCGAACCCCACCGGCGCCTGGAACCACCGGGGCAGGGACCCCGCTCAGCACCTGCCGCTCTGGGCAGGAACGGGCTGGGGCTGGGAGCCTGTCCCACTCTTAGGTCTGTCCCCTTTGCAAGGGACTCTGGGAAATGCAGTTCCCCTTTGCAATGCACCATGGGCAGGGTTGGCCACTTGGGAGATTTCTGGCCCACCTCCTCTTGCATATTCATGATGGGGGTGGGGCGCTGTAACTGTCCCGTGTTAGCCTGGCAGGGACAGGGAGCTCCAGGAGGCAGAACTGAGAACCAAGTGAATGTCCAAAGGACATACCAGGGGCACTAGCTCTGATCCAGCCCCAGCCAGGAGCAGGGGACTGGCTGGCTCAGGGAGGTGGGGAAAGGGACATGGGGCCTTTCCCCTCTAGGGGGTGCTGCCCCCTACTGGTTGAGATCTGTTACACCCACTCATAGTGCAACAGAGGATCTTTTCTTGGGGTGTTTGAAGCATAACCAGGCTGGGGAAACCCCCTGCTAAACTTCAGCGGGAGGCAGACAAGGAGCGTCAGGCTCACCCAAAATCATGAGATTAGGTAAAAAGAACAGATTTGAGGTTCTTTTTCTTTGCCTTCTGCTTTGTGAGCCTTTAGGCTGCATGGGGGTCACATTTTGAAGCTTTCTCCACAGCCACGAGGGCTAGAAACGTACTTTTTCTTTAAGAATGAAGGCTGGAATTATCACATCTCCACTTGACTCCAGGAGCTGGGGCTTTAAGGAAAAATAATTAGCATGAGACTCATGAAAAATCATGAGAGCTGGCAACACTGGGGGAGGGGATTCTGCGCTGCCCTGTCTGGTGTTTCCGTCTCTCCCCAGGAGACTGTGGAGGCAAACCAACATCCCCAGGCCAGTCCCTTGTCTGTGGGACCAGAGATCCAGGGATCTCATGAGAAGTATGCAATAGCAGGGACATGTTGGATTAATATGCGTTGACTTACCTACATAATATAGATTCCTTCCCCTCCGCTCCCCCCCCCATTTCTGTTTGGCTCTGCCCACCCGGCCCAACCACTTCCCCCCCTCCCTTGCTCCCCCCAATGGCTCCCTGACCATAGAGCAGGGGTGGCCAACCTGAGCCTGAGAAGGAGCCAGAATTTACCAATGTACATTGCCAAAGAGCCACAGTAATACGTCAGCAGCCCCCCCATTAGCTCTCCACCCCCCGCTCCCAGCACCTCCCGCCCACCGGCAGCCCCGCCGATCAGCACCTCCCACTCTCTCCCTGCACCTCCCGATCAGCTGTTTTGTGGCGTGCAGGAGGCTCTGGGGGGGGAGGGAGAGGAGCGAGGGCATGGCAGGCTCCGAGGAGTGGGGGCAGGGCCTGTGGCAGAGCCAGGGGTTGAGCAGTGAGCACCCCCCGGCACCTTGGAAAGTTGGAGCCTGTAGCTCCAGCCCCAGAGTCGTGCCTATACAAGGAGCCGCATATTAACGTCTGAAGAGCCGCATGTGGCTCCGGAGCCACAGGTTGGCCACCCGTGCCATAGAGCACTGATCCCCCACAGCCACCCTGAGGCCATAGAGATGTAGCTAAGAGTGGCTGCCTGCACTGGTCCACTCTATCCATTATGTGACCCAGGGCACTAGCATTGTCCAGGGCTGTAGGCCAGCTGAGAGAAACTCTAGGGCAGGGTCTCTATGGTGAGTCTTCCAGGCACCGTCCAGGAGTCTAATAACCATAGAGATACAGTTTTCTCTGCCAGCCTTGCCACAGAATATGGCCAGAGTGACCACCTATGTAGTACCAATCTAGCCATGTCACTATCCATATCTCTATGGTTATGGGTTGGGGAGCATTATGATCTAGGGCAGAGCTGGTGCTAGGCATAAGCAGACTGAGCAATTGCTTAGGGCCCCAAGAAGCTCAAGGGGGACCCCTATTCGCTTGTTTTAGTATTGGAGGAGCCGAAAATATTCTTGCTTTGGGCCCCCAATGGGCTATCACCTGCACTGATCTAGGTATTTTCAAGCTTTTTGATACCAGGGACCGGCTTGCTGCCTCCTAAACTGTGTCAGGGAGATCTCAGGGACCAGTGCTGATCCACAGACCGGTCATTGAGAAACACTGCTCCAGAGAGTACAGTGCCCTGGAGGGTGTTACAATCTAGGAGCATTCTTGGGGAGTCTCTATTACTTGGTCTCCTGCAGGGGTTACACTCTGGGACGTCTTCCAAGCATCTCTATGGTTTAGAATCCTAAAGGAGTCTGGGAGGGCTGCTGAGGGTTGCTAATCCCCCTGAAGGGATTACGCGGTGGGAGGATTCGCGAGGGTCTCTATGATTTGGAGTCCTGGTGGGGTTACGCTCTGGTAGAGCTGCCAGGGGTCTCTATGGTTTAGAATCCTGGAGGAGATTCCATTCTGGAACATGGGAGATCTCCCAGGAGTCTCTATGGTTTAGAATCCTGGAGGAGGTTCCATTCTAGAATGTGGGAGATCTCCCAGGAGTCTCTATGGTTTAGAATCCTGGAGGGGGGTTACAGTCTGGGAGGTCTCACAGAGGTATCTCTCAGTATAGTCCAGACCCCACCACAGAACTGGGAGCCTCCTGGCCCATCTGGGAGCCCAAGCAGCTTCTGAGCTTCCCCGGCAGCACGGCGACACGTCCAGGGTCATTCTGACCCCCAAGACGGGGTCCACAGCACAGACACGGGGGGAGGCAAATCACAGGGGAAGGGAGTTTATTTCCTACAGGTACAACTTGCTAACACAACAAGAGACTCAAATCGGTCACAAAATCCAGCAGGGGAGCAGGATCCAGGCACCTGTTGGGAACAGAGAGTTTGGGCTGGGGCCAGACTGACTTCTGGGAAGCTCTCTGGCTGCTCCAGGCCAGGAGGGGATGTTCCCCAGGTGTCACTGGGCTCCTGAATGTGCAGCTCCATGCGCTGCAAAGAGAGGAGCCAGGCACTGGAGAGGAGACAAGCTGCCCCCTGTCTGGGTGTGTCCGTTTGTCCAGCCTCGCTGGTACCCAGCAGTCTCACACACCCCCAGCTCCCAAACCCCCTGTGAAAGGGGGAAGGAGCCGAGAGTGTGGTCCAGAGGCAGCCAGATTCTGGAGAGTGAAAGGATGGTCGTCCTCCCCCTCCCCTCCCACCCCGGACGGGCACAGGCATTAGGGGACAGGATGGGCCTGCAAGAGTTAATGATCCCTGCGGAGTGGGGGGTGGGAGAGCAGGAGAGGCCCCCAAACTGGGGCACTTTGCCCCCAGCTCCAGCATGGATGGGATTCCCAGGGCACCGGGGAGAAACTCGGATCCTTCTTTCTCCAACTTTCCCCCAAAACCTCTTCTTCCACTGAGTCCACACCCCGAATAAAACCACCTCCCCCATCCTCCACACGAATTCTAAATAACCCATCCGTCCCCACCCTCATTCCGTTCCGATCCTCTTCGGATGAGCCTATGTATCATGCTGAGTTCCCATATCAACACTTTTCAGCCTAGATCCCAAAGCGCTTTCCCAAAGGCGGGTCAGCACGCAGCACCGTCCCCTTTTCCCAGATGAGGCACTAAGGCAGAGACAGGAGAAAAGACTCACCCAAGAGCACAAAAGCAAGTGTCAGAGTCAGGGATAGAACCCAGGAGTCCTGTCTCGCAACCCCCACCTTGCTCTCACCACTAGACCCCAGTCTCCTCCCAGAGCCAGGATGAGAACCCAGGAGTCCTGTCTCCCTGCCCCCCTCTCTCTCTCTCACCCCTGACCCCACTCCTCTTCCAGAGCCAGGGAAAGAACCCAAGTGTCCTCACTCCCAGCCCCCTGCTCTAACCACTAGACTCTACTCCCAGGGAACCCAGGAGTCCTGGTTCTCAGCCCTCTCCCATCTCTAAATCCCCTCCCCTCCCAGGGACACCCCCGTGGGGTTCCCGTGTCCCTTCTTGGTCAGCCGAGGTATTTCTGGATGTGTCCGAGCGGGCCAGCTCCCCCAGCCGCTCCCCAGGCAGGGCCGGTGTCTTCGCGGTGCGTGCGCCGGTGCTGCCGCAGGTTGGAGCTGAGGCTGAAGGCTTTGCCACACTGCAGGCAGGCGAAGGGCTTCTCGCCGGTGTGCGTGCGGTGGTGCTGCAGGAGGGCCGAGCTCTGGGCGAAGGCCTTGCCGCACTCGGTGCAGTGGTAGGGCCGGTGCCCGCGGTGGCTGCGCTGGTGCTGCATGAGGTTGGAGCTCTGGCTGAAGCGCTTGCCGCACTCGGGGCAGGGGTAGGGCCGCTCCCCCTTGTGGCTGCGCTGGTGCTTGACCAGGGTGGAGGAGACGCTGAAGCTCTTGCCGCACTCGGGGCAGCGATAGGGCCGCTCGCCGGTGTGGGTGCGCCGGTGCTTCGCCAGGTCGGCGCTCTGACTGAAGCCGCGCCCGCACTCCGCACAGGCGAAGGGCTTCTCGCCCGTGTGCACCCGCCGATGGGTCACCAGGTGCGAACTCTTCCCGAACACCTTCCCGCACACCCCGCACGGGTGGGCCTTGGGGGCGGCTGGGGGGCGGTGGTGGCTCTTGCGGTGCTGCGAGAGGGCTGAGCTGAGGGGGAAGCAGCGCCCGCAGGCCCCGCAGCGGTAGGGGCGGCGCTCTGTGTGCTCCCGCACGTGCTGCACGAAGTCCAGGCTCAGGGCGAAGGCGCGCCCGCAGTCGGGGCACTTGTAGGGCGGCTCACAGCGGTGGGTGCGGCGGTGCTGGCGCAGGTGGGAGCTCTCGGCGAAGGCCTTGCCGCACTCGGCACATTTGTAGGGCCGCTCGCCCGTGTGCGTGCGCTGGTGGCGGATCAGGTGGGAGCTGAGCGTGAAGCTCTTCCCGCACTCGGTGCATTTGTAGGGGCGCTCCCCGGTGTGGATGCGCTGGTGCTGGCTGAGGTTGGAGCCACGGCTGAAGCTCTTCCCGCAGTCGGGGCATTTGTAGGGTCTCTCCCCGGTGTGGGTGCGCTGGTGGCGGGTCAGCAGCGAGCTCTGGCTGAAGGCCTTGCCGCACTCGCCGCATTTGTAGGGGCGCTCCCCGGTGTGGATGCGCTGGTGCCGGATGAGGTGGGAGCTCTGGTGGAAGCTCTTCCCGCACTCGGGGCATTTGTAGGGCTTCTCACCCATGTGGGTGCGCTGGTGCACCAGGATCTCCTGCAGGGGGCTCTCGCACACTGTCTCCCAGTCAGGCCGGCCCTCCCCCTGCTTGGGGCTGCCGTAAGACTCCATTCCTGCAGGCCCTTCCCGCTGGAGATTCTCCTCCGTCCTGGCACATGCTAGGAGACAGAGAATCCAGACAGGGCTCATTCCCTGGCCAAGGGAGACAGAAAACCTGATGGGCAGGAAGCTGAACCCCCCCAACCCTTCGCAAGAAGGGAGAGGAGAGGCCACGTCTGCCCCAATGGCCCAGCTGCCGCAGGGGACCCACGACTGCTGTCCTGCCAACTCACCGTGGGGTCTGGTCTGCTCTGCTCTCCCCTGCTAAGCAGGGTCTGGTCTGATTGGCCGCCGGATGGGAGACACCCCCCCCCCATCCCCGGCCCAGTAGCGGGGTGATGCTAACCCCCAGAGATCCCAACCCCACAGGGTCTCTCCTCTCTGGCCTGTGTGCTGGGGCTGTGCTGGGAAGTGGTCCCAGCTGAACTGCAGCAAAGAGACCCTCCCTCTGGCAGGGCAGATCCCAGCTGTGCCCAGAGAGATGCCAGGGCGGGCACTGGCCTGGGGAGCTGGCTCTGCTCCCAGGCACCATTAGTATCCATAAAGAAGGGGCCTAGAATGTGAGTCACCACTGCCCCCCCCCAATAACCACAGAGACAGGGCCTAGAGCACAAGTTTCCCTGGCCTGCCCATACCACAGAGACGCGACCTAGAACATACATCACCCTGCCCCCGCACCCCAGTAACTATAGAGGTGGAGCCTAGAGGTCCCTACGCACCTGTATCCATAGTGATGGGGGTCTAGCCCCTTCCACATCTCCCCATCCCATCTCTATGGAAACAGAATTGGATGAGGGGGGGTGTTGCTCAGGGAGATGCTGCGGGGGAGATTTTAGGATCCTCAGTGGCCCTTGGGGTTCCCCAGCTGTCATGAGGGGAGCAGAAAGAGGCAGTGCTGAGCACTGGGGGAGGCAAAGGGGGAGAATCTGGCCCCACAGGGTGCAGGAGTTGGAGCCCAATTCCCCACCACTGCTGGGCATGTTCCTCATGGCTGTGGATGGGGTCACACAGTAACAGGAATGGGGGAGTGGAAAACAGAACAGGGGGGCTCCCAATGGCTTTTCCCTTCACTCCCAGTCCCTAAGCCCGTGTCAATCATTCCTTACCTGCGCGGGCACCTCTCAGGATCTCCCTTTCCTCGGAGCCCTGGAGATCCGGGACCCTGGGCTCTTCCCCTCGCTCCAGCCGGGAGATCCCGGCCGGGTCGGGGAATCCTGGTGCAGGGCCAGGCATGATCCCAGTCATGTGGAGGGAGCTGCTGAATTCAAACACATTGTTAGCTTTCCCCTTCTCATTCTGGTGCCATCCACTGTTAGCACCCCACTTCCAGAGGGCCCCTTAGCCAAGAGCTTAATTAACTAATCATGGCACCATCACTCAACACCTCCCAGCCCGATAGTTGGGATTGGGACAATTTACAACCACAAGACAATGCTTTATTCCCAGCTGATTCCACTTCCACATGCCACAGAACGCTCCACACCTGCCCCAGGGCATTCTCTGGCCCTAGAAAGCAGCTGTTGGTCTCAATGAGTTTTCCATGCTAAAGATTTTCATTTAATCACTTCTGACCTGAGAAAGGCTAGGCATAGAATAAGATGAAACCAGAGATCGGAAGAGACATGTATTAAGTGCCCAGAATGCACAATTAGCAGCAGAACTTCAGTTTTCACCAAGGAAAAAACATGTTTCTAGCTCTCATAGGTGCACAGAAAATATGGAGAACATGACCCAGCATCTGCCTGAGTCTGCAGAGAGCCTGAACTGATCACTCTGAGGCCTGGTCCACACGACACAGGTAGGCTGATGTAAGGCAGCTTACATCGACCTGGCTCTGTAAGCGTCTACACTAAAATATAGCTCCCACCGATGTAACTCGCCCACTGCACCGACTTAATAACTCCATCTCCGCAAAGGCGTAGCGCTTAAGTCGATGTAGTTAGGTCGACACAGAGTCCGTGTAAAAACTGCGTTACTTACATCCACTGTTGCTGCCTTTCAGAAACCATCCCCCAATGCCCCCCACTGGTAGCTAATAAGCTCCTGGTGAGGACGCGTGCCGCCGACACAAGGAGCGTAGTGTGGACGTGTAAAACCGATTCAATCTCTGCAATGGCTGTACTTAGATGGACTTAGTATCGTAGCGTAGACTTGCCCTGAAAGGCATGAATTGCCTCCACTCTTCTCAATGGGGGCATCGACTCTGAAACCTAATGAGGACGTGTAACATGCCAAAGTTGTTGGGCTGCCCCTTCCAGCTCAGGCACTTCTCTCAAACCACCTCCTGGGTGCTCAAACCTTCAGCCAGCCCCGACCCCGCTACCCCCAACACATGCCAATTCCAGGAGGCGAATACCATCAACACAGAAATCACTGGGGCTCGGAGAACCAGGAGGGCGGGGGAGAAGATTAAACACCCAGACACCCCCCCACACCCTGGACTCCTGGGTTCCATTTCTGCACCATTCAGTACAGGCCTTGGGGAGTTACTGAAACACGGCTCCTGTACAATTTCCAGCTGGAATTAGGGCCACATGCCCGGGGGGCTTTGCAACCATCGCAGCGCTCTCTCCTCTGCTCCCGGGGACCCCTGTGGCCAGATCCCCTGGGCTTAGCATCTTTCCCTTCCCCAGCCCCACCCCGCCACTGCCCGGTGGTCTCTCCGGTCCCAGCCCCCTTCGGCTCCGATCCCCTCCTCACCGCGGCCGCTGCCTCCGGGCAGCGATTTCCTGCCTCGGCTGCTGTTTCTCGCCCCCGCTCAGCGCCCGGCCGGGGCGATCCCCTCCCGGGGCCGGAGCTGCAGCCGGAGACGCGGCCCCGCAGCAGCCCTGGCCGGCCGCGGGTCTCTTTGTGCGCTCCCCTCCCAGCTGCCAGGCGCACACACAACACAGCACAAGCCGGGGGGATTGCTGGGAACAGGAAGGTCCCTGCCTTATTCCGTCCCCTCCTTGCAATAGTTCCTGATCTCGCCTAGGAATCGCCCCATGGGGGGGGGGGGGGGGTGCGACTGCCCCCAGCCCAGCTGAGAGGAGAGCCAGGGGCATTAGCACGTGTCCTGAAACCCGGGGCTACTTGCACCCCCAGCCCCTACGCGCTGCAGGGTCACTGGATCTGGGTAGGAGCGGGGTGAGGGCGCAGGAGGGGGCCTCACAGTCCGTCTGGCCCCAGTGTGGTGCTAAGGGGGCGCCGTGCCGAGCGGCGGGGAACGGGGGTGGGGGGTTCAGTAGGGGGCGCTCTCCCCTCACAGTCAGGGCTGGCCCCAAATGCGCCACTAGGGGGGGGCTGTGTACTCGCTGCTGCAGCAGCCCCTGGTGGCGGACTGAGGCATTGCATAAGCCTGGCCCCTGAAACCTGAGTCAATCCTGAACTTTTCATCCACAGCCCCTGGGGGTTCATGGAACAGCAGAAACCAGCTGGAGACTAGGAGCAGAGCTTCAGCCACTCACCTTCTGTTGCTCAAGGGCTCCCCAGCTCTGGGTCTAGTGGGTTAGATCAGGAGGGCTGGGAGTCGAGACTCCTGGGTTCTTGGATGGCTGTATACTAATGCTAGAAGTATGGAGAATAAACAGGAAGAACTAAAACTATTAGTGAATAATCACACTTAGGCCATCACTGACATCACAGTGACTTGGTGGGACAATTGACATGACTGGACTATTGGTATAGACGGGTCCACCAGCTTGTTCAGGAAGGACAGGTAGGGGAACAAAGGGAGGAGGGGTTGCCTTGAATATCCAAGATGTATACACTTACACTGAGATTGAACGAGAAGGGAGGCAGGCTGCTGAAAGTCTCTGGGAAAGGATAAAGGGAGTAAAATATAAGGGTAAGGTCATGGTAGGGGTCTACGAGGGACCATCAATTGGTGGATGAGGCTTTTTTTAAACAACTAACAAAATCATCCCAAACACAAGCCTTAGGGCAAACGTCCACTTAAAATACTGCACCGGTGTAGCACTTGAAGACACTCTAAGATGACAGGAAAAAGCTCTTCCTTCAGCGTAGTTATTCCACCTCCCCAAAAAGCGGTAACTGTCGACGGGAGAAGCTCTCCTTCTGCCATAGCGGTGTAGACGGCGGGTTAGGTTGGTGTAACTACGTGGCTCAGAGGTGTGGATTTTTCACACCCCTGAGCGATGAAGTTATACCACTAGAAGTCTGTAGTGTAGACCAGACCTTAGCGGTGATGGAGGACTTCACCTACACAGACAGCTGTTGGGAAAGTACAGCAGGACACAGATTTTCCAACAAGTTCTTGGGCTGCATTGGAGACGACTTTTATTGCAGAAGGTGGAGAGAGCGACTAGAGGAGAGGCTGTCCTAGAGTGGATTCGGACAAACAGGGTGGAACTGGTTGAGAATTTGAAGGTGGAAGGCAGATTGGGTCAACGTGATCATGAAAAGATGGAGTTCATGGTTCTAAGGAATAGTAGGAGGGAAAACAGCAGAATAAAAAAAACAATGGACTTCAAGAAGGCAGGCGTTAGCAAACTCAGGGAAATGGCAGGTCAGAGCCCATGAGAAGCAAGTCTAAGGGAAACAAGTGCAGGGGAGCTGGCAGTTTTTTAAAGAGATATTATTAAGAGCAAACCATCCCCAGGCTCAGGAGAGAAGGAAGTACGGTAAGTGACCACCCTGGCTTAACCAGATCTTCAAAGACCTGAAACTCAACAAAGAGTCATACGAAAAGCGGAAACTAGGTCAACTTACGAAGGATGAGAGTATGTAGGGACTAAAGTTACAAAGGCCAAGGCACTAAACAAGATTCAATTAGCTAGGGCCATACAGGGTAATAAGAAAACATTTTACAAACACATTAGAAACAAGAGGAAGACCAAGGACAGGGTAGGCGCATTACTCAATGAAGAGGGAAAGACAATAACAACAAAACGCAGCAATGGCCAAAGTGTTAAATGCCCTTTTTGTTTCAGTTTTCACCAAACAGGTTAGCAGTGACTGGATGTCTAACGTCGTGAACATCCGTGTAAATGGGGTAGAATCTGTGTTAAAATAGGGAAAGAACAAGCTGGGAATTAAGTTAGATGTCTTCAGGTCAGCAGGGTCTGATGGAATACGTCTAGAATACCTAAGGAACTGGCTGAAGAGATCTCTGAGCCGTTAGCAATTATCTCTGAGAACTCATGGAGAATGGGAGAGAGACCCAAGGCCTGGAAAAGGGCAAATACAGTACCCATCTATAGAAAGGGGAATAAGGGCAACCCAGGGAATTATAGACCAGTCAGCTTAACTTCAGTACCCAGAAAGATAATGGAGCAAACACACACTCACTTTGTAAGCACCTAGAAGAAAATAAGGTAATAAGTAACAGTCAACATGAATTTGTCAAGAACAAATCATATCAAACCAACCTAATATCCTTCTCTGACAGGATAACAAGACTTGTGGATCGGGAGGGGAAAGCAGTAGATGTCACACATCTCAACTTTAGTACGGCTTTTGATACTGTCTTACATGAACGTCTCATAAGCAAACTAAGGAAATACAGCCTAGATGAACCTACTATAAGGTGAACGCACAACTGGTTGGCAAACCATACTCTGACTAGTTAAGGGCATATCAAGCGGGGTCCCACAGGGATGAGTTCTGGGTCCAGTTCTGTTCAATATCTTCATAAATGATTTGGACGATGGCATAGAGAGTACACTTATAAAGTTTGCAGATGATACCAAGATGGGAGGGGTTGCAAGCACTTGAGGACAAGATTAGAATTAAAAATGATCATGACAAACTGTAGAAATAAATAAATAAGATGAAATTCAGTAAGACAAACACAAAGTACTCCACTTAGGAAGGAACAATCAGTTGCACCCATACAAAATGGGAAATGACTGCCTACGAAGGAGTACTGCGGAAAGGGATCTGGGGGTCATAGTGGATCACAAGCTAAATATGAGTCAAAGAGTGTCATACTGTTGCAAAAAAAGCAAACATCATTCTGGGATGTATTAGCAGGAGGGTTGTTAGCAAGACACAAGAAGTAATTCTTCCACTCTACTCTGCGCTGATTAGGCTTCAACTGGAGTATTGTGTCCTGTTCTGGGCGCCACATTTCAGGATGGATGTGGATAAATTGGAGAGAGTCCAGAGGAGAGCAACAAAAATGATTAAAGGTTTAGAAAACAACTGAAAAAACTGAGTTTTTCTGGAGAAGAGAAGACTGAAGGGAACCATGACAACTGTCTTCAAGTATGTAAGAGATTGTTACAAAGAGAAGGGTGCCAAATTGTTCTCCTTATACACTAAGGACATGACAAGACTAATGGGCTTACATTGCAGCAAGGGAGACTTAGGTTAGATATTAGGAAAAACATCCTGTCAGGGTAGTTAAGCACTGGAACAGGTTACCAAGGGAGAGTGTGGAATCTCCGTCATTGGAGATTTTTCAGAATAGGCTGGACACACACCTGTCTGGAACGGTCTAGATAATACTTAAAAGTGCCTCAGTGCACGGGACTGGATGAGCTATCAAAGTCCTTTCCAGTCCTACATTTTTATGATTCTATCCCCAACTCTGGGAGGGAAATGAGGTTGAGTCAGCTGGAAGGAAGTCAAGAGTCCCAGGTTCTATCTATGGCTCTGGGAGGGGAGTGGGGCCTAGTGGATTGGGGGCTGGGACTCAACTCCGGGGTTCTCTGCCCCACTTCTGAGAGGGGAGCAGGGCCACATGAATGGAGCAGCACCATCCCAAGGACAGGGTCTCCACCTCAGCCCCTCTCAGCCATCATGGCAGCAAAGAGGGTGATGGGATGCAGCATTCCCCTTAAATTTCACTGGCTGGATGAAGGCTCTGGGGTCATGGGACAACCCTTCCATCTCAGCAGCTCTTAACTCTCCAGTGCTGGGTGACAGGTTAGAAAAGGAGACACCCCTTTCCCATTCCCCCGGAGTATGAAAGCCGTGAGCTGCCACCTGGCAGTGCCCTGGCTGACCACAGGCAAAAATTTTGCCAATATTTTAAAAGGGTAAACAGGATGACCTGGATAATCATAGGCCTGTCAGCCCGACCTCAATCCCACTGAAGATAATAGATCAGCTGTTGGGGGACTCCATTAATAAAGGAAAGCAATGTAATTCATACCAAGCAGCATAGGTTTATGGACAATAGATCTAGTCAAACTTTCGTAACTTTGTTTGGATGAGATGACAAGTGTGACTGACACAGGCAATAGTGTTGCTATATTTCGACTTCTGTAAGGCCTTTGACTTGGTACCACATGATATTCTGATTAAAAAACTAGAACGCTATAAAATTAACATGACCCACATTGAAGGGATTAAGACAGCTAACTGGTAAGTCTCACAATGTAACCGTAAATGGGGAATCACCATTGAATGGATGTGTTTCCACTGGGGTCCCGCAGGGATCGGTTTGTGGCCCTACATTATTTAACATTTTTGTCAGTGACCTGGAAGAAAACAAAATCATCACTGACGAAGTTTGCGGATGACACAAAAATTGAGTGGGAAATAATAAAGAGGACAAGTCACTGACAGAGCGACCGGGTCGGCTGGTAAATTGGGCACAACGTGTGTTTTAATACAGCTAAGTGTAAATGTATAGGAACAAAGAATGGGGGCCACGCTTACACAATGGGGGACTCTATCCTGGGAAGCAGGGACTGAAAAAGTTTTGGGGGTCTTGGTGAATAATCAGCTGAACGTGAGCTCCCAGGATGACGCTGTGGCCAAAGGGCTAATGCAATCTTTGGGGGCGTAAGCAAGGGAATCTCGAGTAGGCGCAGAGAGGTTATTTAACCTCTGTATTTGGCTCTGGTGCAACTGCTGCTGGAATCCTGTGGCCAGTTCTGGTGCCCAGAATTAAAGAAGGATGTTGAGAAATGGGAGATGGGTC